GCTGCAGGTCCTGTGTTTCAGTAATCTTATAGCATTAGTACAAATGAAGACATGGCTGGGGGAGGAATATGAGCCTAATAACATTTGATCTTTGAAGGGTGTTTTGAAGCAAAACTGCTTTTGCTTTTGAGCATACAGCATTCCCCCTCTCTGCTGCAAATCACACATCCCACTACTAGTGTTTTTAATTAGAAAAGCAACGACAATAACTAAAATGTTGATTAGAAAATCCTCTCACGAGCCAAGTCGCTGTGTCACTGAATGGAAGTCTATGTACGTGTGGTGTATGTGATGTGTCTGCGTGGGAGTTTGATGAATAGATGAAGGGGCAGTTAGCATGCAGTCACAATATGCATGATTACAGCTAAAGCAGCATGAATAGCTCTGCAGATATTAAGGGAGTGTGTGTGCAGTATGTTTAAAGCAATTCCTTAGTGTTGGATGCTTCAGGGACATGAAGATAGGATGGACATCTCGGTGAAGTGTGACATGCGTGAAATTGTACATCTCACATCACTGTCTTAGGTCAGTCAGAAAGCTGGCTGTTTGATGTTACGTAATGGCATTTTGGAAGTAAAGGGTTTAAGTTGCAGTCAAAAGACATGACAAAAAACCCACACTGGATGATATGTCACTGATTCCTAGGAAGATTTATGTTAAGATATCACCTACATGTTAAGGGAGGACTTATAGGAAGGGAGTGTGTTGCAAACGTGACACTAGAGAAGAAGAAGAGAGTTTCTTTTGGATGTAATGAATGGCTATGAACAACCGTTGAAGGTTGCTCTCAATGTCAGGATCTTTTGTGGAGGCCTTCTGTGTTTGCACTCAGTAGAAGTGAGAACTTGGGTTGGTAAATATGTCTTGCTTGGACAAACATCCTGGGTTGCTTTGGCTGGTGCTGATAAAAAAGGACTGCTGAGATCCTAATCAAGATTGTTGCTTTGGCAATTAAATCTGACAGAGGAGAATCAGAGCTATTCTTCTTGTCCTGAAAAAGGAAAAAAAAAATTGGAAAGTGGTCCCTTTGTGCTTCACCTTGCTCCATGTGCGCCTTTAGTTGTGCATTTGGGAGAGAGAGACGAAATTGTGGATCCCTTGAATTGTTTCAGTCTATGTATAGCACATTACATCACTTTAAATGAGTTCCAAGAAATGTGTTTGTGTACTACACCTAACCTGTTTTGTTTGGTACCAAGGAGCATATCATTACCTAACTAGTTTACATAAGTTTGTGGGGTTACATGTTAAAATGACTAAAGCATCCACTGTGCAGTAGGTTACTTTCCACTGCGTAGAAGCTGGCTCTGGAGGCTATCAGAATTTAGACTAACATTAGCAGCTCTGTCCTGCTCTTTATTGGATTTGGTGAAGTTTACACTTCTGCAACACCAGCCAGTATTACCCAAGATAGCTTTACATTTGCCAAACCGTACTGTGCAGTTTTAGGCACGCGTGGAAATAGACATGTTAATAGATTATATTTAGCAATTAACAAAACGTAAGTGAACTGAAGAATAAATTAAATCAGTATTGGTGTGACCACCCTCTGTCTTCAAAATAGCACCAATTCTTCTAGGACACTTGCAAGAGATCAAGGATTTTGGGAAGGCACACAGGGGTTTCAGGTCAGCCAAGGAAGCTTACCGCAGCAGATGAAGGACAGATCATGCTTACTTCACTTTGCAATCGGAAGATGTCTAGCTGTTATATCAGCTCAGAAATGTCAGAAAACAGTGGGACCCTGGTACACCCATCTACTGCCTGGAGAAGTCTGGTCAGAAGTGGCATTCATGGAAAACTTAAAACCTAAAAGCCATACCTCCAACATGGAAACAAAGCCATGTGACTCATCTATGCTCAGAAACTGGCAGCAGGTGCTTTGGACTGATGAGTCAAAATTTTAAATATCTGGCTGTAGCAGAAGGCAGTTTGTTCATGGAAAGGCTGGAGAGTGTTTGCAGGCAACAGTGAAGCATGGTGGAGGTTCCTTGCAAGTTTGGGGCTGCATTTCTGCAAACAGAGTTGGGGATTTGGTCAGAATTAATAGTCTTCTCATTGCTGAGAGCTACAGGCAGACATATCATCATGCAATACCATCAGGGAGGCATCTTATTGGCTGCAGCATGACGACGACCCCAACCATGAAGTTAAAGTCATCAAGAACTATCTTCAGAATCAGAATCAGGTTTTATTGCCATGTATGTGTATACATACGAGGAATTTGACTCTGGATTGTACATTGCTCACGATGTAATAAATAAGTGTAAGTATTTGGTGCAGGAGTTATGACTAGAGGTAGGTGGATTTGGTATACAGTATCTACAATATGACAATATAACAGTATGAACAGTACTGAAATAGAGAATGGTGAATTAGCCAGTAAACAGGTGGCTGATTAGAGGCAGAGTTACTGGGTTATTGCACAAGAATTGTTCCTGACACCGTAAGTCAGCTGTTCATCAGAGTGATGGCTTGTGGGAAGAAACTGTTCCTAACTCTGTTGGTTTTGGCGTACTGTGGTCTGTAGCACCTACCAGAGGGGAGAAGCTGGAACAGATTGTGTCCGGGGTGAGATGGATCTGCAGTGATGTTTCCTGCCCGTTTCCTGAATCTGGAAATGTATAAGTCCTGAATGGAGGGCAGGTTGGCACTGATGATCTTTTCTGCAGACCTGACTGTCCGTTATAGTCTGCTCCTGTCCTTTTTGGTGGCAGATGCAAACCAGACAGTGATGGACGTGCAGAGGACAGACTGGATGATAGCTGTGTAAAAGTGGATCAGCAGATCCTTAGGCAGGTTGAGCTTCCTGAGCTGGTGCAGGAAGTACATCCTCTGCTGGGCCTTCTTGATGATGGTGTCCATGTTGGGCTCCCACTTCAGGTCCTGGGAAATAGTGGATCCCAGAAACCTGAAGGATTCCACAGCAGACACAGGGCTGTTGAGTATGGTGATGGGGGGCAGAGTGGGGGGGCACCTCCTGAAGTCCACAGTCATCTCCACAGTTTTGAGCGTGTTAAGCTCCACGTTGTTCTGACTGCACCAGAGAGTCAGCTGATTAACCTCCCATCTGTAGGCCGACTCATCACCGTCCCGGATGAGGTCGATGACCGTTGTGTTGTCAGCAAACTTCAGGAGTTTGACAGATGGGTCTCTTGAGGTGCAGTCGTTGGTGTAGAGGGAGAAGAGCAGTGGGGAGAGCACACACCCCTGGGGGGCGCCAGTGCTAACAGTCCGAGTGATCGATGTGATGTTCCTCAGCCTCACCTGCTGACTCCTGTCAGTCATGAAATTTGTGATCCACTGACAGGTGGAGGCTGGCACAGTGAGCTGGGTGAGTTTGGTGCTGAGGATGTTCGGGATGATGGTGTTGAACTCCAAGCTGAAGTCCACGAACAGGATCCTTGCATATCTCCCTGGAGAGTCGAGGTGTTGCAGGATGTAATGCAGTCCCAAGTTGACTGCATCATCCACTGACCTGTTAGCCCCGTAGGCAAACTGCAGGGAGTCCAGCAAGGGGCCTGTAATGTCCTTCAGGTGGGCCAACACCAGTCTTTCAAAGGACTTCATGAGTACAGATGTCAGGGCGGCAGGCCTGTAGTCATTTATTCCAGAGATGGAGGGTTTTTTGGGGACCAGGATGATTGTGGAGCATTTGAAACAGGAAGGAACTTCAGCTTGAAGAAGAACAAGGAGTCCTGAAAGTGATGGTATGGCCCAGTCAGAGCCTTGATCTCAACATCATAGAGTCTGTCTGGTATTACATGATAAATTAATTGATAAATTAAATCTATTAACATGTCTATTTTTGAAAGCATTCTTTGTACTTGCGTCCATGACCCACAAAATAAAGGTCAAGTGCCGTTTTTATCAAGGAGGGGTTAGCTAGTTGCCTTAAATTACATTTGATTGGGTTAGATTTCTATTTATGCCCCCCAATGTGGAATAAAAAATATTTTATTTGTTTTACCAGAAAATAAACAAGAGAAATTATACATTACCGATACTCATAAAGGATTATTTTAACCTTTATTTGTCAGTTCTTTATTAGTTATTTTAAAAAACTGGATAAAATACAACAATGTAGCAGTAATGTAGCTGTAAAACCTGTTTAAACACATTGGCCTTTTAGTTTGAAGGTGGTAAATATCAATGTTCATCTGCAGTGCAAAACATTGGTTTGCAAGTTTGACATAGAGCTTCAGAATCAGTGCAGCTCTTGAACTATGTGAACTATAATGAACTATAAAGGTGGGGCTAACTAAAGGTAAAGAGCTGTGGTGGGTTGTCTGTTACCACCCATATAGGCTGTTGTAGTTTTGGACTGCATGTAAGTAAAGTGTATGTTAATATGCCCAACCCCATTGACATGTATTTAAGAATATTCTTATAGTCACATTATGTTTCTCTGTCACTCCATTAAATGTATTAGCTTTATTAAACTTTATGATACAAGCATAAGATAAATGTATGGTACTTTATGGTAAACGCATAGGATTCTTTTCAGTGACAAACTAACAATATAGTATGTAATGACACAATGTGTACAATATATACATATTATATGTTTATATTCAGCAGTCAGTGTTCATTGAATTCATTCTTTGCTTTCAATAGCTGTAATGAAAAGAATGAGTGAAAAAAAAACTAACTACAGGGTAATGCAAGTTTTCCCGTGTACAATCCGAGGCAGATTATTATACAGGCTAAAGACAAATATTAGCTATGCATATAAAGCAGGAAATCGTCTTTACAGAAGGAGGTAGGTAAAATTATATTTCTGCTTGAATTTCATTTGGCAGAGAGGCTCTGGGCAGAAGATGATTGTTCCACTGCTACAGAAATATCAAATCATTTGTATTGAGCCTGGGATAAAATCAAATATTGAACTATAAATTGAACCTTTTTATGATTCTGACACTATTACAACTGGTGCCATACGGCCTCCAATGTTATTTGTGCTTGCACATTAAGGTGTGACCATTTATTTCTCTCTGCAGACTGCTTTGAAGTGAACCCTTTGTGGAGCATCCGAAACGACACAATATTCTGGTGAGTTCCCAAATTGAAATTAAAACCCTCTTCACATTTACATAATATACTACCACACATAACCCATCCAAACTGTGAACACGACCAGAAAGTGATGGGGCAAAGGGATAGAAGGGAAAGGCTTCGAAAAAATGATGTTTCCTTCCTGTGGCTCTATCGATCACTCAGTTTTTACTCCACAGGGTCAGTATGTTTGACTCACCATGCATACATATTCTCACTCTATTAAACACAAAGGCAAACCCTACAGTTTTTCTTGTTATTTTCCTCCTCTCTCTGTCACATACAGATTCAACCACATGTTCACATACAGAGAGAGAGAGGGAGTGAGAGCAAGCTTCTGAAGAGTGACACTGTTAGCTCTCCTCTCACATAGGCAGGGTTGGGCTGGCGCCATGGCTGTTTGCCTCATAGCCTGCGCAATGGGAGTCGGCTCCATTATCAGAGCTACTGCTTCGCCACCCTGCAGCAAACCCAGCATCCTCTGCTCCTGCAGATTTAATTTCTTATCTCAATAGGGAAAACAGCCCCTCTGATGAACAGCAGAAAACACCCTGGCTGCGGTGAACATGCATTGAGAATATATACAATATGATGGTTTGATAACTTATAACCAGGCATAGCATTGATATTCCTCATAGGAATTTGTGGTTGGTCATAGATATTTGCTTTGTACTATGAATAATGATTCATGGAAGGGGAGCTCTCGTCACCATTAATCAGGAACTCTAGTTTATAAACGTCTATAATGTGCTGTTGCTGTTGTGAGCTTCACATTCTAGGACAAACTGACTTGCCTCTATGTTTGCAGATAAAAGCAACTCGTCAGCTGCTGTATTCTCACATGACATAAACTCAGCATGAACCGGTGTCACATGCATGCTCCTTTTGTTAACATTCTTACGATAGCACATTATCACTTCTCGGAGAATAGAGTAGCTGGATATTTGTACATGTTTTCATAAAGCCCTCATGCAAAAAAACAAATCCAAGCCTTGTACTGTGATGTTTTTTTTCTTCTGACAATCTGCAAAATTTCTTTTCTGCTGCATTTGGTAAGAAGTCAAAGTCTGTGATGGAGCCGAAAGATCTGACTTGCTGTGGCTTTTCCAGCCCTTTAAACAGCTTCATCAATGTCATGAAAAACCTCCGCAGTAGTAATTGTGTGTCAACTTTCCCAGGCTCTAAAACTGAAGTTATTATGTGAGCCCAAGTTGTGTTAGTTGATATACCTTGGCGAAATTAGTTTTCTTCTGTTTTACAGTAATCACCTGATAAGGCTTCACTTACTGATCGTATCTGTGGTCTAATGCATCAAGAGTAATTTATTACAATCATTAGGTTGAAAGTTTCAAGATCTCTCCTTGTAAGAATTTACAGTTCCTTGAAGGACCTTCCTTTAACACCCTTTTCTGTAAAGAACTTTAAGCACAAACATTTTTTTAAATTTTAATTATAATGGAATTTAATATAATAAACTACAGAATGCACACTTGATAATGCAACATAACATGTATGTGTACTTGTGCAGGAGTACTAAAAACTTTAACAGAAATCACACTGCACAGATAACATATAAAAGGATGTATGAGAGACATCAACATGTGCCAGGATTAGCCATTAAACATTGCAGTTATTGAACCTGATCGTTTTCAGGTGGCTGGGGTTTACATAATGTGGCGCCGTGAGAGGACATTGATTTTTCTTGCTTTGAACTAGCAGTCCTGCAAGATTCTTTTCTGCACAAGGGTACTGCCTGGCTTCAGCAGCTAATTTGGCAATTGGGTAGGAATAGAGAGTTAATAATCCATAGTATGAGCAATAACAAAAGTTTTGAAGGCAATTGCAAAGACTGCCCAGAACAAGGTGCAACACAGGGCTAATACAGAATCATAACTCTCTATAGTGGTTCATGCATTTGTATGTGCAGATGTATTTCTACTTGGTAGTGCAAATGTGTCTGATTAAGGAGTCATTTTTAATAAGAAACGAACATCATGACACTTTGCTACCAAGATACATCACAGCTCTTTGAATACTGTATGTTAAGGTTCAAAAAGGACTAAGCAATAATGCAAAGAGACCTTTGGATGATAGCGATAGTGTAGGAACACTTGATTAGATTTAGATTTAGATTTAAAACATTTAAAAGACAATTTGTTATGTTTCCTCTGTTTATGTGGAGAGAACAGAGTCGTCAAAGATGCAATCATAATTGTGTTGACATGCATTTTGATTAGACTCCTTCCTGCTCAAACGAATGCATTTCTTTTTTTTTCTTTTTTACAGAATAGTTTACAGAACAGAAAGTTATCAGAGTTGCCAATTCAGTAGGCAGAACAATTCAAGTTTATCTGTGTGACCCTGATTCTGTTTTAAACTGCTCACTTAACAGCCACAATATGAACGCAGTAAACAGAAAGTTAAAATGCATTTGATGGAAATTTGCAGTAAATTAAGAAAATATATATAACAAATAAATACAGGATTTAATTAGTGCTGATACTTTGGGATACTGTTAAAAAGCTTATTTAACAGTTTTCCTTCCCTTAAGTTTGACAAAGGCTTCATAAGCATTACTTCAGGTTATAAAACTACCCAGTGCTTTCTATATAGAATAAAATAAATACCATAATGCTTAATAATAATTAACCAGCCCAAAGCAAGGTATTTTATAAATGATTGATTATAAGCAGCAATGCAGAGGATTCGTTTTTGTATGTATGCGTGAAGCAGAGAGAGACACTTTCACATTTATTACTTTTTATTAAACTGTGAAAGACTTCATTCCCCACAGTCTTTTGCAGCTGACTCACATGTTCTAAAGTGAATTATGTTTTTCTCGTGTTATCTTATATCTTGTGAAACTGCAGAGCTCTTAGATTAACCATTTTCCTCCATGAGAGCACATCCAGCATGCTGAAAATATCAGTACACCAAAGTATAGATTTTTGACTCATTTTGAAATTAGACTCTCTTCATGCAAATAGCTGTTTTGATCTCTTTTGTTGGCATATGCTGCTTTTCTCAGAGCACTATAATTAAACAGGAGGAGGCCGCAACCCTTCCTTATTCTGTGTCAGTTTGAGAAATGGCTGTTGCAAAACACACTGTGTCAAAGCAATACAAGTTGAACAACAGCTAGATTTCACACACAATGGAATCCATTTTTAGGAGTGTATCTGAGGATTCGTGAATTAATCTTCATTTCTGCAGCGGGATAGATGTCTGAAAATGCACCAAAAATCAGTTTGTGGAAGTTTTGCTCAACAGCATTACATCATATTTTGTATTTATCACAGGCATATATCATATACAACTGCCTGAAAATCAAAACTTATGAGGACACATTACTTTTTACTCTACAGCTGAAAAATGTATTGAACTGCTTTTATCCCTTCTGCTGGTAATGGTTTAAGTCGCGACACTCCCAATTACAGATAAACACATTGGAAAATGGGGGTTAATAGTCCATGTTAAGTTCAATTTAACAGTTAAAGCACCTTCAGCTTCTTTCAATTGTTTCCCAGTGATAAATAATCTTTCTGAATTACAGAAAAAATACTATATCTTTTATTTACTCTCCATGTGTCACCACCCAGGTTTACACCCACAGCACATCCCCTGATCTGACAACATCCTCAGGCTAACCTTCATATATCATCATTAAAGAGCACGGACTCAGACACTTTGTCAGAGTTTGCAGTCCAGTGGAAAGGTACAAAGGGGGCAGAAAATAGATCTCTTTGATGAAGAACAGATTATGATGGAGAGGTAAGCAAACTTACCTCTCATTCACTGCCCACATGTGCAGTGCAGCAAGACTTGCCATCTCGCACAGCAGCAAATTGCTGTCTGATCCCAAAGACAAGATGCAAATAGGATGTAATCCTCTTGGATCTTTGTTACAAGATACAGTGAAATGTAAATGGCTCTTCTCAGTTTTAAATTCAAATAAAAAGATGTCTGTTTCAATGAAAGATCAAATAAATATGCTAATATGTTATCACTTCATTATATGTGCATATCTGTATTATTTGTAGTATCACTGTATACAGTAATTATAGGCTACCCACATACATTTACATTCCAAAGACGAGCTTTCTTAAGCAGCCTTGTGTGTCTGTATTATCAGAGGATCAGCAGCCTCTTTCAAAGTTCTATCGTTGTAATGTGACGTGAAAATCTAACATAAAAATTCCCACTGAGCTCCATGACTTGAGCGCTCTCCCCCACTGATTCAGTTTCAACTGCTGTCTATATTTCTGCAATTTTATTTGGCCTGCCCCTGAGGGATGTGTTTCCAAAATTAGAAACCTAACTGACAACTCGTTAGTTCTCAGGTGAGATAACATGGGGTGGCTTACAGACAAGGGTTTTATTGTGATAAACGTAAGCTTGTTAGAAAAAGAGATTGATAAAATGGAATATTCAGGTTTCTGTAACTGCTGAGAGAGTTTGGAAATGTCATTCGAAACATTGAGATTTGAACATTTACAGTGAAAAATTTCTAATAGCAAAGCTACTAAGCTAATATCTGTATCTGTTTATTTAATAAAAACATGTGTTTGTATGTATATATATTTAAATATTGAGATTTATACTGGGGGCGGCATGGAGATGCAGTGGTTAGCACTGTCGCCTCACAGCAAGAAGGTCGTGGGTTCAAGCACCAGCCTTTCTGTGTGGAGTTTGCATGTTCTCCCCGTGTCTGTGTGAGTTCTCTCCTGGTGTTCCGGCTTCCTCCCACCATCCAAAGACATGCGGCCTGGGCTGATTGGTGACCCTAAATTGTCCTTAGGTGTGGCCCTGCGATGGACTGGCGACCTGTCCAGGGTGTACCCTGCCTTTCGCCCAATGTCAGCTGGGATTGGCTCCAGACCCCTGTACACAGGATAAGCGGTTGGATGGATGGATTCATACTGGCTCAGCCAACACTAGAAAAGAATGTCTACTTGCAACCCCTGTTTGTATACAGTTGTATATACTGTATATATATA